CCTTTACTTTCTGTGGGCTGTCAGAAAGCCACACACATCTTCTATTATCATATTCACACACTTTAAATGATGTTACTTAATGGTAGTCTCTTGATTTACATAGAGAATGCTATAACACCTTTTACATGGGATATTGTTAAAACCCACTTGTTTTATTATTCATATAAGTTATTATTCATCTCTTTTTGCTGTCAGCTCTTGCTGTCAGCCAGTGACATTAGTAAAGCATGAACCCTGGGTGACATGGAGGACCGCAGCCTTTTCACTCATGTAGGGAAATAATTTCATTCCATTCTTTTGGAGCAAGTGTATTACTGGAAGGGAACATGAAGAAGAAAGAGACTGTTGTGGGAAAAAAAAATAGAGGTGAAACCAGCTAGAAGTATGCTAGTTTAGCAAGATATAAAAAAGCTGAAAATTGATTTATGGTATTTCCCTTCTTTCCACGAAGTCCAGGGTTGTCTCCCTTTCCTCACTGGTTCCTTTCTGACCTTCTTCAACTAGCTTGTGAATTGTGCTATAATGCTGTTTGCTGCTGCTGAAAGAGTAGAGCTGGGAAGCATCCTCCCATGCCTGAAAAGCTGGCAGGGAAATTGGTTCTGGTTCCTTGTTTTCAAAAAAGCACTTGAGGTTTCGCTCACTCAGCTTGGTGGCATACAGCTGGAAAATATGCTCCAGTTGCTCCTTCTCCGTCCCCTCATATACTCTCCCGAACATCTTCTGGAGGTGACTGACTTTTGACTGGCAGCTGGCACAGCAAGTGGCTAGTAGGGAGAGAAGGGCTGTGGTAACTATCACACACCAGCCTAAAATCTGGGAAAGCAAAAGAAATGAGTTTCAGGTTAAAAAGACACAAGTGAAAATGCTACTTAAATCACGAATGTCTGACCAAGTGACCACACTTTGTAGGGAGGACCTGCTGCTCCTTTTGGAACCCTGCTGCAGGCATCTCATTCCAGTTTGCATTTGGTGCTGACACTGATGTTAATGGGGCATCCATATGGGGACTGAAGGGAAGGAGAAATCCATCAGATTGAGACTTCTCAAAAGTGCTCATTTTAGTGTCTTTTTCTCTGGAAGGCAAAAGCTGGTTGATTTTTACATTGTAAGGTGAAACAGTCCTGAAGAGTTGGCTCATACTAGAGTCTTACTGCCTCCCTAGGCCATATTATAACAAAAGGAACTTGGATAACAGTTCCCTGAAGAGATATGACCAGTGCAATGGCAGTGGCAGGTTCAGAGACAGATGATTTCAAATCAGACTTCAACTAGAAGACTGTATGTGAAGAAAAATCTATGAGAGGCCTAAATGATCTATCAAATAATGTAATGGCTGAATAGAGCTATACAGAAAAGAGAGCAGACCTGAGAGCAGGAGTAATTTAGAGAGTAATTTAGAGAGAATTTAGAGTAATTTAGAGAGAAATATTTTTGAGAGTTTATTGCAAAACCGTAACCATTTGGCATGTAGCGTACTGGAATTGCTCTCCGTATTCTGTCACACAAAGAGAATAAAATATCAGTCACTAGATGGTAAAAAGTTTTCTATCTCCTGAAAGCGTTAAATAAAATTACCCAACAAAAATTAGTAGTAAGACACAATTTTAAATAATGATGAACTACAAAACCAAAAAGGGTGACCTTTTGTCCCAGATCAATCAGTTTTTAATTGTGAGCTCACTTAGATGTATTGTTTTCTGACTTCTTTTTAATTAAAAAACCCCTCAAATGCAACAACTGCATTAACTAACAGGAATATAGAAGATGCTCTCAAATTTAAAGTGTTCCCCGATTTGAAATATTCCCCAATTTTTTGGCAGAATATTCACTGGAATCTATGCTATTATTGTGAACCTTTCTTGACATTGATGAATCAATCCTTTATAATGGAAAGTTATTTTTATGCTAAAACCAGTTAAAAATTACCTTTTTGCTCAATTCTGTGAGAATACCAGGAGGGCATGATGAAGAAGAAATATTATGTGCATTGGTAGGTCTGCATTAGCACTGGAATTGAACCCTATTCATCTACACACTTATTAGAAACAATTTCTGTATTTTCAGAGAACTTAATTTTTGCTGAAATATACTTTTGCACCATCACTTAGCTTTTTTTTCTGTAGGAGATTCAGAGTTTGACAAAATTCTGTTAAGAACATTTTAAAAGAAAGAGTAACCCCAGCAAGGGATGACAGTGGAAAAATGTGCTTGAAATTGTTATTTTGGGATGTTCTCCTCCAAGGAGAGCAGAGATGTGAAGACAATTTTTTCATGCCTTGTTCCACTGGCCTAGCCAACAGTTTTACTCATCTACTCTACTGCAATGTGTAATATTTGCAAAAAAATGTAATACTTGTTTAGAAACTGGAAAATATTCCAGTGTGGAAAAATTATTCTAGGTTTCAGAGACCCATATGAACTGGAACTTGTTTCCCATACTCTAATGGTGATGAAATGGAGAGCTGCAACCTTTCTCATGTGAACTCTTGCACTGATGTTAAAAAAATAACCACTGGTAAAAATCTGTATTTAGCTGAGGGAATATAGAAAGTTTCTTCAAGGAAAGCTGTGAAACAGAGAAGCTTGACAAACAACTCTTGTTAGGAACTGGTAGGGAAGAATAGTTTAGATTTCTTTTATTTTTCCCAATCACTTTGTAGTGACTGATGATTTCTATGGGTGTTTGAGAAATTACTCTTTTTAGCAGATTGTCACTTTCTTGCAGGTTGGAAAATGAAGTCATGTATTCTCATGCTACAAACTCAGTCACCGGTCTTTCACTATTTCCTACGCATACAACTTAAATTCTGAAGCACTATTTATTATTTCCTTCTAAAACTCCCAAATAAATTGCTTTGTCTGCAGTGCAGGCTTTGTCTGCATTCCAGTCCTATTTGCATGAGGACTTGAAAATAAAACTGGCTCTTGGGGAGGAAATTGTTCCAGATGGATACAATTGCCTGACAAAAACTTCCTGGCTCCACAGTGTTTTTCCTTTTCTGTGGCTTTTTTTTCGTCCACTGCTTTGTTTCTTTGTTTCAGAATTTATTTGTGTTACAAAGCAGTGAGCAGAACTGTATTACACAAACATTGTAAAATGTAATAAAATCTCAGCTTTGCGTGTTCTGCTTGCTTTATATTAGTATTTCTTCTTTCCTTTAAGCAGGACAAAAATGTGTTCACATCTGGCATCACGAATATGAGGAACACAAACATAAACACATTATGTAGGCAGTCACAAGTCTGTCAGAAATCTTATTTTCCAGTATCTTTCTACTGTTAGTGACCTAAGATTTCAATGTGGTTATCACACTCTTCTATATTGTACAATGTGCATTCATTACAATAGTTTAAAATAAGAGAGTATAGCATGAATTTTTTATTGGAACAGACCTCTTTAATGAAATGACATCTGTTAAATCAGCCTCCTAAACAATTCAGTCATTTTTATCTCTTTAGAGCTATCTCCGTTCAGGAAGAAAGCTTAAAGTTTTCTGGTTTTATTGACACTGCCCCTCAGGAAGTATGTGGGGCCCCTCAGGAAGTATGCAACAGCTCAAACTGAACTGAAAGATGGATTGTATTTTGCAAGGCTACACTTTGCCAAAACACTGTTTACATGAAACCACTGGTTTTAACATAACATCTGACATTAAGATCTTTCACAGATAAATCACTGCAGCAATACAGTTTGCATAATGCACTTTATTTATAATTTTTCTTACCTGGGACTGTGCTTGAAGTGTTCGTCTTAGTTCATCACTCTCTGAAACAGGCATGGAGCTTTTGCCACAGGCTACCATGTGTAGCTCTCCAAAGCACTTTTCAGATTTTCTGTTGCAAACAACCTTTAAGTAGGCAGGAGTGTCCAAGCCACTCATGGCACATTCATAAAAAGTCCCGTTGAGCAAAGCCACAGAAAGCCACATCACTGGGGCGACCAGGGCATTTAAAGTGATTTGTCCAAAGACGTAAAAGAAATGGCAGACTTTCCCTCTCGGGAATATTTTCCTGGGATTCACCCAGCAGCCTGTAAAGAGTTTCCAGGTCTTGTTGTTCAAGAAGTATCCAATAACTAGCAAAACAAGAGCTGGGGAGAAGAGAAATACCAAACCGTACCTGAGGTTTTCACCGCTGCAAGGGCATCTGAAAGCAACAAGAGAAAACGCACGTTCACCTCCCATTGTCAGCAGTGCCATAAAACTGTAACCTATAGCAGTTTTCCGGTCGATGAAGAACTTTAGGATTGTTTGGAAAGCATCCATGTCTGATACTCACTAAGGAGGTAAAAACCAAGACAGTTTATCTTCGCAGCAGTTTGCAGCAGGGGAGAGCTCTCCCGAGGACGAGCAGCCCGCTGCTGGCCCGCCTGCCCACGCACTGCCGAGATAACGCCGTCATGTCACTGCCTGCAGAACGGACCCCGCCGCCAGCAGAGCAGATGTTGCACATTTACAGTAACATTCAGCGGTAGTAGAAAGCAAGCAAGCAGTGCTCTAAGTAATCAAATAAGTTTGCAGTCTTGACAGCCGTGTTCTTGGTGGGTTATTGTTATTTTTGTGACTGCAGATGGAGATCAGAGTAAAAACACACACCAGTTGCAGGAGATCTTGAGTTGTGATGGTAAAAGTTGTGTCAATGTAGTGAAGGACCTAATAAAAAGGCTAATGGTCCCAGGGAGTATAACATGACGTAAAGCAGACTAAAAGCAAACGAATGATAATGGTAAAACCACTTTGTATGGGATTGTAAATGTAGGAACACCAAAGACAGAACAGACAGCCTTCTGTTGTGTTTCCCTGGAGCATCATGTAACTCTGTTTTTGCATTGCTGGCTCAAGCTGAACACAGAAGAGGCAAATCTAGTTTGATTTCTAGCCTCTCTGGCCCTTCCCCCTATTTTCCTGGAGCAAAACTAGTGTACAGGATGTTGCATTCTAAAGTTTCACCTCTGGTTTGTATATAGGAGATTCAGGCAACAGAGTTTCATCCTTTTGCAGGTTGCTTTCAAGACGTACCTTGGGGTCACCCCTAGTGTGAGTTGCAGTAGTGCTGCAGGAAATGAATTCTCCTTAATCCTGGACAAAAACCCACTAGTGGACTTCGTGGAGGAGCTGCCAGCAGAACGAGCATCACTTTGCTACTGTAACCTCCTCTGTGGGGTGATTAGAGGTGCCTTGGAAATGGTAAGGAAGTGCACATCTGTTTTCACCATTCTTTGTTAATTCACAGAGGCACAGGAAAGCAAACCCACCTGCTCAGATAAATGAAAATACAGTATTGTTTAAGCACTCAGATTAAATGTCTATATCTAAATAAAAAAGGGCCAAACTGACCCTGGATCCTGAGGCAGAAAAACACACAGATTGTCTCACCTCCACACTGTCTCTGCCTGGCTCTTCAGTGACTGACTTGGGTGCAAAAGCCAGGAGGGATTGGGGAGCCAGCTGACACATAATGTGGAGAGACATGGGGGCATGCTGGGTTCTTCCACTGCTGCTTGAACCTATAGCACTTTCCTCCACAGCTGTAGCCAGTAATACTCACCCCAGATTCAAATATATGGAGATAGGTAATATTCTCAGGTTACTGCAGCACCTGCTGAAAGGGAGAACAAAGTGTGGATAAATATGTTAAAATCAAAGCATCAGAAGTGTATCAGATGGCATTCCAAATTTTGTTCTTAAATTTAAAACTTTTACAAAATAATAAATAGAGGGCATAATTTGAAAGTTACTGAGCAGTAGAGCTTCTGTGGCTTTTTCTAGGAGATTACTTTTGGTCTGCTTTATGTTACTGCCAATAACTATTTTGGCATGTATTTTATATTTCAAGAGAAAATAAACCTGAGCAAGTATTATGTATATATATCAGAGTTACGGTATCTGATACAAGACTAATTAACAAAAGTATTATATCTTAAATTTTAGTACGTGACCAGGAAATTCTATGATCACAAAATCATCAAGTATACAATTTAGGTTCTCAGAAGAAAGCAAAGCACTGGAATGAAGAGTAATGTATTATACAAATCCCAGTGCATATAAATTTCCTTTTTATTAACTGAGTTGGGAAAGACATTTTAAAACAATCTAAAAATCTGTTTCTTATGAAACCTGAGAAAGGGAGTCCTCTTGTGGTAAAAGGGAGAGAGAGAAAAAAAGCTCTTATACTGGAGGAGGGTGGAAAACTGGGGATTTCTTCGCTTAACTGATCAGACTTGATTCTTTTTAGGTTCACCTAGAAGCAGATGTCACGTTCCTCCAGGACAGGCTGAAGGGTGATGCTGTGACAGAAATAGGAATTACATTTTTAAGGAAACCTGAAGGCAGAAAGCACAAAAGGAATAAATGAAAGAAATATTGGGAGAAACCCTTGCTGAGGGATATTTTGTGGCTTTTGTTTCAGAAGACATGCAGGGTAAAAATGGTTTCACTGATCCAACTGCACCAGCCACTTGGTTGAAAGGTGAAGACAGCTGGGCTGTAAACAGGAGGGGCAGGGCAGAGAAGAGCAATATTAATTGTCATGACACAGATATTAAAATTATCAAAATGACCTGCCCTTCCTTCTCACATAAGCATGCTCTTGAGCTTAATGCAAGTTTTGTCTCAGTATTTAGTGCATGCTGGATGCAAAATATTCATTTGGACATCAAATGTTCTCAGACAAAGATGATGACCTTTTCCCATTTTGTTTTTCAGTAATATTTCAAAGCATGGCTGCTAAGAGGTGCTCTATTTCCCTGGCTGTGCATTCTTAGGTATAAAGAATTCATCTGCTCTGGCTGCTGCATGCCATGTGTCGCTCACAGGTGCATGTTTCGATGTGTAGTGGTTTGCCATTCATTGTCCTCCATGCTGGACATCTTGCTGCTTTGATACCACAGAGGGATGCAGCTTCACTGATGGCAGGAGCTGGTTGGGTTCCTTACAGCTCTTCCAGGCCCCATACGCAGTTTTGCTGGCATATTCAGTCCTGTGTGCACAGCAGGCTGCAGCCTTCTGACAACTGCAGCAATGCTTGTGTTGCTCCAAGCCTTTTCATGTCAGCCCTCTCTTCAAGAACACTCATGATCAAACTGAACAAAGCATGATGTATCTCATGTGTAGTCACTTTAGATCTGTACTTGCCTAAGGAAACTTGAATGAAAATTCTAAGATTGCCACACAACTGGTTTGGTGGTCATTGTGTCTGGTCTTACCTGACCTTCACCATCAGCTGTTGAACATCTTCCCCTTGGCATTGGACTTTTTACCACAACATGACTGGGAAACAGAGAATGAGCAGCCTCACAAAGACCTGAGTTACAGGAAGGGTTTAATGGTTTTCCATGTAACACAAGATATCTAGATGAGGGTTGGACAAAACCCCAGATCCTAGCACGATACCCTGCCCACTAAGCCAGCTCACCTTCTCCTCACCAAAGCACTTGTTTTAAACTGAAATACAAACAATAAGTTCATTGAAGCCCAGAGTTAACCCTGATTTTATCACTGTGATTTTAACCCTCTTCTCCTATTTTTCCCTCAGTCTGTTTACTTCTTAATCCTGCTCAGTGAGGGGCATCTCTTACCTTGGAGACCGCAGGGTTCATTCCCACCAGATCTGTGTAATCTTCATGAAAGTCTTTTTCCCTTCATATATCTTAACAGTCTCTTACAGTGGTGGCAAAGTGTAATGGAGCTTTAAAAGAGCAATTTTGTACAGAACAAAAACTAAGCTGTTCATTACCCAGTCTTGGTCTCAACCCAACTGCTCTTATCTGCTACCAGTAAGAAGTTACAACATGTAACAATGTAATGTAACAATGTGTTACAGCCAGTAACAAGTTTCCATACTTTTTGTTTGCTTTGGTTTGTTGTTGTTTGGGTTTTTTGTGTGGTTTTTTTTTTTTTTTTTTTTGGGGGGGGGGGAAGTTGTTGTTGTTGTTGTTTTAAATCGGGGATAAAAGGTCTTGTGGAATTTGTCTGATTTCACTGCCAGTACAGGAGCCCTCAGTGCAGTTTTTGCTGGTCATATCTAGTTGGCTGAGACAGACATGTGGCTGACCACGAAAAAATATTCTTTATAAGGCCATTTTTACTTTTTCCAGCAACATCCTACTAGCCAAAAGTTACCTTTTACGTCTTCAATATGAGAGGTAAAAGGTAACATTTTGAACTGAACTGTGCTTCATGAAGGCACAAGTAACAAAATTGGACACTTAGTACTCTTTTATCATTAAGTTCTTGGAAGGAAAAGAGCACTAAGTCAGTGCTTGTGACAAAATGAATGATTTTTAAAATTCTTTTCTATATATATAATTAAATCTTGTTTTCCCTTTATGTGTTATACTTTCAGTTTATAGTGAGAAAAAATCTTCCAAGCTCATTATATTCAGTTAGTTAAAATAGGCTCTTCCCTTCCTTCTTCCTTGGAAAATGAGTATAACAAATAACTTCTTGGGATTCTTTTCTGTCTCTCTGAATAGTTTCCAAGTTTACTGTGCAGAAAGAGAGGATTTCCGAGAGGACAGCCCAGACCAAACGATCTGACTCACCTCTCCTAGATGCTGTCTTAGGAAAAAGCTTTTCAGATGAAAACTGAACTTTGCTATTCTTCACTCAAAATTGATATATTTGTTCTTATAACTTGATGTTCTTTGATAAGGATATTATTATTTGCTAATATGGATTACAGATTTATAATATTCTTAAGTATGTGGTTGCGCTATAAATGTTTTTTAGTATATAAGCTTCACTTAGACTGCCATGTTACGCATAAACCTAATCCCTCAAGACAAGTTAATTTACACTTTGATAGACTCCATTCTGGATGAAGTTAAATAGTGTATTTGGCAGGGACAAGCAAATGTAGCTTGGGTGTAGCTTAAATAGCTTAGGTACTGATGCCAGGGCCAAAACACTGTACGTATGATTATATCTTTCAAAAATCCCAGAGGAATTAAGTCCTTTTGAGAAAAATAAAAGGAAGAATGTAAACTGTAAGTTTAATGTTAGTGTATTTTCCCTGCAGAATTCATTCAAATGCCTATTTTTTTCTATTAAAGAGCTTTACGATTACAGGAAATTAGCAGTAGAGATAATTGTGAAGGACTGCTGCAAAAGGTGACCAAGATCAGGCAGTGGTAATGAAAATTCACTGCCATGGGAGCTTTTAGCTTCATGGGTACTTCCCAAAGCTGCTGAGCACATAGAGGTAAAATGACTGGAAGCTATTTGGTCAGCAATTCAAACTGATATGCAGCTGAAATCATTCTACGGACCCCTTTGTTATGCACGGGTAGCTCCGAAATGGTAATTGCTTCCCAGATTTTCAAAGATGCTGTCCTTGCCTTGAGCAACTAATTGACTGAAAGTAAATATCTTTCTGCTGCACTGAAAGCTCGTCAAATGAGAGCTAATAAACTAAGCTGAATTTCTGATCAAATCTTCCCTTCGTTTTGCCTCTTTGATAAGTTTTGGTATTGTCACTGGAGCTGCCAAGTGCCCTTAAGCTGTTTAGTAATAATCTGACATAGTATGTGCTGACATCTTTTTGAATGCTGATAATTTTAAACATATGGCTCTTCTTAATGAACAACAATATATGAAAAGTCCCATTGTGACAGATGTATTTATTTAAATGTATTTAAGCAAAAGTAATAAAGTCTATTTAAAACCAAATCTGCTGAGGGTTACAACTATCATCTTTTACATAATATTTGCATAGATTTCAGCACAGAGGAATACAGAATAAGACTCTTCTGGTTAAAAGACTGCCAGCATTGCAAAGGATTTGTTTCACTAAAACCCTGAATCAACTGCATCTGTTTCATCAACAAATCCTAAAACAGTGGGATTTTGACCACCTTCCTCAAATCTGGCGCTGTTGCCTCTGTTTGTGTTCACATACTTGTGTATCATGCTGTAATACTGCTCTTGTGGATTGAATGTATACAAGAATGAAATCTTCTTCCAGTCTTCGTTGCTGGGAGTACGAAATGGTGCTGGGTCAGTGGCTTCAAAAAAGCAATTTATATTTCTTTCTGCCAGCTTGGTTGCATGCTCCTTGGCTTTGATCTCAAAGAGTTTCTGTTCTTCTTTTGAGTAAATTTTCCAGAACTTGAGCTGAAGATAGCTGACCGGGGAGCAACAGCGGTTGACACATGTTGAAATCAGTGCCACAGTCATGATGATGGCTATCAGGAACCACCCTATCAGCTTGAAAGAAGAGAGATAGGTTAATGGTGGTTTTGCATGGTCATATGAAGGAGTATAGAAAATACCATTGAAGAAGATATGAAAACTGTAAACAATGACACTCTGGAGTGCATGTAACTGCCTGCTTGCTGCCAAAAGAGGGGATTCCATGCACACAATTCAGCCAGCCATACAAAGCTTCTGTGCCCCTGAGCTGATCTTGTTGGATTAAGGATGAATATCAAGAAAAGAGAAGGTGGTCTGAAGTTATTTTCTCAGTTACATCCACCTTTCTTAACTTTTAAGGCAAAATATTGACCATGAATTTCTCCAGTTGTGGTCAGATTTATGGTACAGGGGATGTAAAATCACCCTGTGTGCCTCGTGCTTGAAATCAGCCCTCCTGCTGACTGTGCTCTGTTTGTGGACAGTAACTGCTCTCCCTGATGTCTGAGCATGCAAAAACAAACAGGGGCCACAACACACAGGAAAAGTCGTGTCCCGTACATTTTGTAGGCAGGACACAGAGTTGGCTATTGAATATGGGAATTCATTTTTGTTTTATAGACGATTTAAATATCCTTAGGTAAGTCTCAGAGGTCCCATCGAAACCAGGTGTCCTAGTAGATGCTGATCTGTCCTTTAAGTGGTACTTAGCTGGAAGCTCCAGGCACAGATCCTGCAACATCCCCTTTTACACGAGGATGACTTTTTTTTCAAATGAAAAATTATCGAGTGCTAAAGAAAAAGGAGTTGGTGTTCCTTTTGGTTCTTAATTTTGTAGACAGTAGATTAGATATGAAAAAGTGGTCAGTAACAAAAATGCTCTCATGCTTTTTCTGTTTTTTTTGACTGTATGTTTCTTTTAGATTTCCTTGCAATATCAGTAACAGTCATTCTTCCTTGATTTTTCTCCTTTCTTACCCTATCTGAATTCAATGGTATAGAGCTTGCTCCTTGTCAGCCTCTTTCTTGGAGAAGGAGCATGCTAAATATTTAACAAATGTAAACATTTTTTAATTTTAATAAGCATTTGTACTAAACAGGAACTTACAAAAATCTGAGTAATTATGAACTCTTATAAACTTAATTCTCTTAACCAGCCTTAATGTTTTCCTGAGGAAAAGTTACAAATTCTGTTTTTTCTACTGGAATTAAGACGAGATCCATACAAGCCTAGAAACAAAA